ATATTGGTTGATTTACTTTTGTTTTTTAACTGTAAAACTTTATTTTTAAATAGTTTTAAAGAAAATAATTATTTCAATCTTAATTTAATGACGCAGTTCTACTATTAACTATTTTTTGGATTCTGATTAGATCAACGAATGTATTGATTATACAATAATGTGCGTTTATTTTAATTTTATTTGTGTCCGTCATCGCCTTTTAGACCAGTAATCACCTCTTAGATTTTAAACTTCAATATACTTTTTGGCAAAGCTGGGCAGTAACTAGTTAAAAAGTTAAAAGTTAAGTTAAAAGTTGCTTTTATTGATAACTTTTAACTTAACTAGTTAAAAAAAAAATAGAATGTAGAAAATAACTTAGTTAGTAACTAAGTTATTTCTTGTTATAAATAATTGTAACTTAACTTAGTTATTTTGTTAAAATGAAAGTTATTTGTAAAAAGTTATTTACAAAAATGTTTCTATTATGATTTATGAACTGTTTATTATTTGCATCGATATTTCTGAGAGCCGCCAGGACGGAGATGGTATGTATATTATTTTATTTATTTCTATTTACTATAGTCTATAATATACTATAATATGGACATATATTAATTACTAATTAGTAGTATTATAGTAAATAGTGATTATTTTTATTTACTTATTAAAGGTACTTATTTGTAATGTAACTAGGAAGTTAATACTTTCTATGAAATGACAACACTACAGCAGTTAAGATGTATGCTACATATTGTTACTAGTGTACTGTGCACATTGATAGGAAGGTAATATTTAGGGCTCGGATTTCAATGCATTTGCATTTTTTTTTTTTGGGATATCTTACGCGATGCCTTCCAAGCTACAAATATGTTTCAAGTACTTCGCAATCCAACCATAATAATTTTTTGGGGCATTTTTTTAATTTTTTAGGACATTTTTGACCTATTTGTCGTATTATGAGTAAAAAAATTGACCTCATTGAAATATAAGTACTACATAGTAATATAGTACTACGTAATAAAAATTATTTTCATTTTGAACTATTTTAACTAATTTAACATCAGGTTTTCCGGTTTTTACAACCTTTATGTCACACCATCCAATTAGCCGATATTATCGGATTATTTTCTTATCGAGCGATAATATTATATCGGTGGTGCGCGTGGCCGATTGTCGGACGCTTTCAGTCGTGTTGCGTATTACGTCGAAGGTACTTACTTTGTTCCTCATTTTTTAATAATAATTAAATTTGAATTTAATTAATAAATAATGCATTTTTTGAAACGTCAATTTTTGATATTTTTAGGGCATTTTTTAGAGTTTTTAGGTCATAAATGCATTTTTTGAAAGGGCATTTTTTTGATATTTTTAGGGCATTTAAATCCAAGCCCTAGTAATAACACAATTTTCCATTTTTTTTTTAGTTTTTTTTTTAAAAATATCAATAAAATTTTATTTGTTGGTTGCAAAAGCTTGAAAATTTAATAGAAGGCTCCTAATATATTGTTTCAAAGGCAGATAAAAAATATTAAAAATCCTTAGTCACAATTTTTTTTTATAAGCATTTAAAGTTCAAAAATTGACAAAATATGGAAAAATCACGAAAATTAGCAAATTATTTTGAGTTAAGAATTCGTAAAAATTTTTCTTTTTAAATCTAAGATTTGAAAATGAAACACAAGATTCCTTATAAGATTATCTACCTTTATCAAAAGAAAAATGTCTATAAGAAAGTCAAATTAAATTTTTATGAGCGTTTGAAATTCAAATTTTTACAACATTGAATATTCACTCGATTTCCCATGTAGCGATTTCCTTATTTTGTTGTAATTCAAAAACGAATAACTGTAGATACATGAAAATTCCACTGAATGTTTATATTAGCATTTCCTATACATCATAGAATTTTGAAAATATTTTGACTCTTTTTGAGCTGTTTATGGACATTTACAGCTTTCAATTTTTTTTAGTTTTTTTTTCTATAAATATCAATAAAGTTTTATCTGTTGGGCCAAAAAGGGTAAAAATTTAATACAAGGCTCCTGATATATTGTTACAATCAGTGGCGTACATTCAAATTTGCTCTGGGGGAGGTTTAAAAAAAATAACCAGCACTATAACTTTCTCTTTGCAACTACCCATTTTCCTAACAATCAAACACATTACACGTATAAATATTAATAGGCAAAATAGTAAAACAAATACAAAGGTTTACGTAACTCATGGCAGTTAAATATTATTTAATATGCACATAGTAAGTACAGAATATTATAAATATTATATTATTAATTATTTATAATAAAAATTCTATTGATTGTTATATTCTAAATTCGAATGATTTTTAAAGTCTTCCAATGCATGTTTCCAATCATCATATTTTTTTAATACAAATGCTCCCAATTTTTGGTTATTAACACCGGCTTCATTTTTAGTAAAAGCAACACAATATTTGCAATACGCACCATTGTTTACTTCTGAATAGGCCAACCAGGGAAAGTTAATTAGCCATTTATATTGAAATTTCAACCTCAAAACTTTTTGTTGTTTACCGACTACTGATATTTTGATAAGAAAATTGTAATTAATATCAGGGACCCAAATTTTGCTCAAAATGTCTTCTATTTCACTTTGCGTTAACAATTTATTTGTGTAATGTGCAATGTCAAAAATATTATAACTGGAAGATGTACGATTAATATCTGTAGTCGAAGGTGTAAACTGAGTGATAGGTGTATCAGATGCAGATGCAGTTGATGGTAATGAGGAACTAGAGGAACTTATAACTGTTTGAGTTGCATTTAATGAATTTGACAATGAATTCATTATTGAGGGTGGTTTCGAAAAAAAGATTGCAGTTTCAATTGATTTTTTTCAGCCATGATTACTATTTATTTTACCTTCAAAACCTAAAATATATCGAAATCGAATGATAATGATTATGCTGTGATAATAATAATTTTTAACTTAACTACTAATTTATTTTTTAATCAACATTAAATTAACGAATTAATTTTTTTATTTGTAAGTTAATTTATTTTGTTTTTCATTTTTTTACATTTCATTATTTGAGTCTATTTTGTTGCCATGTCAAAATTTCAATAATATAGACATAAAATTATGATATAGTTTGCCGACACTAAAATCTAAAAATAAACAAAAATAAATAAATCAATTACCTATTGATTTTATGGTTTACGGTTTTGTGAGATTATTAATTATTATTAAAAATTATTATTAACAGTATTCACGTTGATAGTTAAACATTAAAATTAAAAATAAAAATACCTACTCAATACTCATCGTATTATGATGTACACAAATAATATCTGTTTGAAAGACAACTAAAATATATAATACTTATTTATTATTATTTATTACTTATTACTTATGTGATAGGTAACTTCTGTACTTAAAAATACAATATATACTATATCTATATGTGTATGCATATTAACTTAACTGAGTTAAAAAAAAAAAAACTCAAAGTCGTGTGTGTTTATAATGAGTCGGTCGAGATAAAGACAATATTAATATGTATTTATATCCGCACGCAACTAACTGACTGTGTACGATCAAAATAATGTCTATTTTAATTGATATACCATATTATACGGCACCCAGAATTTCGTTATGAAATCTTTTTTCGTTGTTGGTTTGGTATAATGTTTACTGTTTGCTCAATAGTCATATTATAATGACGTATATTTGTGTATACACGGTTGATTAATAATAAGAAATTCATCAATAATATCACATTATTTTTTTATTTTTTTTTGGTCCTGGGGGGGGTTTGAACCCGACCCCCCCCCCCGTATGTACGCCACTGGTTACAATAGCAGTTGAAAAATATTAAAAATACATAGGCACAGTTTTTTTTTATAAGCATTTAAAGATCAAATTTTGACAAAATTTATCAAAATTTCGAAAATTATCAATCATTGTAATTAATAAATGATAAAATGTTCAGTTTTTATAGCTAAGGATTGCAAATTCAACACAAAGGTTCTCATAAATAGTTCATACTGTAACCAAAAAATCTAAAAAATATATGAACACAGTTATTTTTTACGGACATTTTTAAATTCAAATTTAGGCGTTTGAAATGTGGTGCTATAGAAGGATGCTAAGGATAAGCTGGGTGGACAGAGTAACCAATATAGAAGAACTGGAAAGACTAACAGATGGAAAGTTACTATGGAATAACATAGTCAGAAGGCGGAATGAATGGATAGGCCATATCATGAGACACGAAGGATTGTTGAAATTAATAATAGAAGGAACAATAGAGGGAAATAACCGTCTACACCAAGATTGGAATTCATTCAACAGATAATAAAGGACCAAGGATGTAACTCGTATGTGGAAATGAAAAAGAAGGCAGTTAAGAGAGAAGACTGGAAGATGGCTGCAAACCAATCTACGTCACTATAACGTCCCCTTAAGTTTTATTACTCTATGGGCGCACCTTAGATCATATACTAGCATTAGCCATTAGTAGCATTGATTAAATATACATATGTGACTATAGCAAGTAGTATGTATGGCGCTCATAGCGGAATTTCTCTTTTATAGCGACAACCGATTCATAATTTTATTGTAGGTATCATGATATAGTTTATGGACGGGATAGCAGAGAGCAGCACCGTCGTCTGGTCACCACAGCTAAAATCGTGATCCGAAATTGTCACGGTAAATATTGTAGTGGGGGAAACTATGCGATTAGACCGCTGTAATAATTACCAATAATAAGTACCTAGGTAATAACAGTGATAGCATACTGCATAGTCAACCACTCAACTGTCTAACTCTCAAACTCTACCACAGATTACAGAATAACTATTCTGATTTCTGAATAATAATTATTTATTATTATAATTATTTATTCTGTGACTGTCACTGTAGTACAACTGTACCATCTTTAAAGTTTAATCATTCGACAATCAATCGTACTACCGAACGAAATCATCGGTCCATAATTCAATAATTGTACGACTTATTTTTATCGTTTTCTTTAAGACATGACGACTGCTGCCCGACCGACGTTTGAACCAGCCCGTGGTGGCCAGGGCCGTGGAGAAAATGATCTCAGTGCCTTGTCTGTGCAGTATTCCAGCAGGGACTTGCCGTCGCACACAAAATTGAAATACAGGTACCTATTTTACGTTCATTGTTGTAATAACGGAGCAACCATCTAATCCATGTTACCATTGTTTTGTCTAGGGAACCTGGACAGGGCACAACTGAAGAGCTTCAGAAGCAAGATTTTGCCAAAGTACTCGAAGAAAA